CAGCAGAAAGACTTTACCAATGTAGGGTACCTTATTTTGTGATGCCGGGTAGTGGCACTGTCGATGACTATTAGAGTATTCACGAGTTGMACCACACAGTGTTATCAGCGTCGACAACCGAAACGGAGGGGAGCTCAATACTATTCATATCGATACTGTCGGTGAAATCAGGAGCAAAAAATCAAGCAAAAATTCATTCCTGGTACAAATCTGCCGTAGGATTCTACACTGAAATTAGCTTTTCAAGGGGTGACACTGTACAGTTTTCGATAATTTTGATCTGTCTAATTAGCCAATCAGATTGCTTGATTCCTATCGAATTATAGTGTTATCCCTAACTCTAAGAAAACGCCAAATATGGAATAAAATCCGTTTTTCGTGCGTTTTGAACAGCCGTGTGCCGCCGCCGTCGTCATCCCCGTGCCGTCACGATCTCTAAATGAGTACCGTTTTGTGCAGTAGTTTGTACCACACTTTACAGTACCTTACGCGTTGTACAACACGAATCACTTTTGTTTCATTCTGTAATCTGTAACTACCATACCGTACGTTACGGTACGTACCGTACGATGCTCGTAAACGGATGTCGTCGACATCACAAAAATTATTGTACAGTATAACCGTAACGGTAAGTATGAACTGTACCGTAGTGATCAGAACACACTCGTAGAAAGAGTGTGATTCCCATTCAAGAGCTGTTCTTATCATTAGAATAAGCCACTTCGAGACTGTCCATCCCGATTTTTCTAGCAACATCCAGCAGGACCAGAGTGTGTCTCGAATAGGAACGCATATATTTTCAATTGCAAGCTACCGTTGGTTTTTGATCGTTGACCATGTTCGACGGTGATTTCCGCAGCAGACGAAGGCAAGTTAGAACAGAGATTCCAGTTGGCTCTGTATCCTCTTGAAATGGAAGACTGGAACCGGAAACAAGTTTTGCATGGCGATGCTTCCTCTAACTCTGAAAATTCCCTGTCTTGTTGCATCTCCTTTTGATCGATCGATGGATCCTGCCGTTGCCTCCGATCCGAATTGACACCAACAATAATTGCGTCAATGTTCAACGCGCACGACAGAGAGGTCAATCTTTCGGGGAACAACCGACGAGCGGGAGGAAGAAACAAGCGCGATTTGCTAAAGAATGCCGAGACGCTGCGGAAGCAACGACAGGAACGAGTTCGGAGGGATCGCTCCGCAAAACTGGTGCAGCGCGTCACTAGGGGTCACTTGTCTCGGTTGCGGACCATCAGTCTCTGTGCTTCGAACGTTTTATCGGATTGTCCCGCTACCATGAATTGCACTGATGCTGATGCTAGTTCTAGTGATGGCTGCATCCATGGAAATACTTGGAACGTGCTGAGACCAATGGCAGCTCTCTCGATGTGTTTGTCGCACCACACTCTCTTGACAAAATTCGACTTTACGCGCAGGGAGTTGCTTCTAGGATTCCGTTACTACCCCGACAGCATCATGGCGGGAAATAGCGACGATAAAAACGACAACAATGCGGACTTTGAAGTAGATATTATGGGCCTCAATAATGATCTACGTCCCATGGAAATTGAGGGCGAAGAAGGAAGCAGTTCTTGGTTCTCTCAGCAACGAATGATGACACACGCAATCGAAGAATTCGATCCAAAATACCAGTGCGACGCCGAGGATAGCAACGCGGAAATGTACCAACTCCTAAATACATATCGAGAATCCACCCGAATCGACGACCGCATTTTTTTGGGCTTGACAAAATGCATGCAGAGGTGGAGTCTGTTTGTCGAGGGTACAAAAAAGGAAGGAAACAACAACGACGAGAAAGCGACAAACTATAAAGCGATGCTCACGAGATGGGCTATGGAAGCGAGTGACCGACTGGAAAACCCCCATTCGAGTGTTCTTCTTGCGACCATTCTCCTCAGCACCAACGATAGAGTTAATACCTCCATAGCTGGAGCTTGTGCCGATGGCAGTGTCCGCATGTCCGATGCCTTCAATATTGCACCAGGGGGAGAACAAATCGAAAAATGGTTTGCGCTTTTGGCCGATATCTTGGTTAAGAGCGAACTCAAGGATGTCACCAAAGTCTCAAACGACACAAAGGATCTATTGTTGCAGGCTACAATGAAAAACCTTCGGAACAGTCAGGTACAACGCTTGCTCTACAATCTTCTCGATCTCACGAAATCACCGAAACTGATGCTGTTGATCAATCACGTACTACGCCAACCCCAAAACGAAAAACTCAAACTCGCCGTTTCCTTGCTCGCGAGAGGAGATTCCTTAGTACAGATGCAGCAGGAAGAAACACAAGATCAAATCAAAGATTCTGGAAATAAATACGATTGGGACAACGATGACGATTCGGAGGATGAGGAGGAAGAATCCGATCAGAAGCCGTCTAGCCACAAGAAAGCCCGTGGTGGATCAACTTACTACAAGCGACAGGAAATTTTGACTCTGGCGAAGCTAGACAAGGTTTACAGTGAGCGCATCCAGCAATCGATCAAAGATCATTGCCGCGTATTCGACGCGTTGACGATCGAGGTTGCCACCAAAATAGCAAAGGCACCATGGAAAGATTGGGGCTTGTACGTACTAGGAAGTTCAAAAGAAGCCGGGTTAGTTCGAAACAATAATGACAATCATTGCGGAGAGGTCGAGCGTTTTGTCGAATCGCTAGGATACTTGCTACAAGCCAGTAGTAGTATGCGGTCGAGAGCTAGATTTACTCCGTTGTCGCCGCTGGCATTCAATCAGTCCATACTCTGTTCCTTGTGGAATCTCGTTCGAGAGCAAAAAGGCGAGTGCGGTTTCATCTTGTCCATCTTTTCGGATTTGTTCAGCCATTACCTGGTGGCACTGAGTGACGAGGATTTTGTGTTGTACCATTGCAACAGCAGTAATAGCAATCCTTCTACATATTTCGAAAACAGAATTCTGGCCAAAGACATAGTCGCACGCTACAACCAAGAGCTCCACGAGGTTTACTGGACGAAACCGGTTTTGTACAGCGAAATTCATATGAGCAGTGCCAGGGGAAGATTGATTTTGTCCGGGACAAAGCTTTGGAATGCGTTGTACGAACGCTGGAATCGTCTCGTATCTGTTTCGTTTTGCGACGAAAGTTCTTGGTGGTTTCCTCATCTGGGCTCGAACGAAGGGGATAGGGCCGTGATTCCTGATAGAGAAGTTGGACATGACATCAATGAAGAAGATGACGACGATGACTCTTCCGTGGATATGGACGAAGGTCAGAATCCATTGTCAACTGCAGAAGCGGCAACCGATGCATTGGCGGACTCGTTTCGAGATCCAAAGATGGCTAGGGTGCTTACTATCATCCCACAGGCTCTGCCATTTGATCGTCGAGTGAAACTCTTTCATTCTTTGCTGAAGGCCAACAAACAAAAGGTTCTTCAGGCAGCACAAAGCCAAAGGGCGATGGCAGCGATGAGAAACCCTTTTGGCGAAGAAGCGGCTGCGATGATGTGGATCGATGGCAGTGTAAGAGAGCAAATAAAAATAAAACGTGCGCAGCTGTACGAAGATTCAATGGAACAACTCAACAAGTTGGGTGCTAATCTCAAACACAAAGGTGCGTATTTCATGTTGCACCATCCAAGGCCTATTCAAGAATCTGTGCCGGTTGGAATCGCAGACGTTGCGAAAGAAATGGTTCATTTTCTGTAAATTGCTAACTTGCAATCCATGCACGTCGTTTCTTTTCTTTTTCTCGGAAATAGTTCAAGTTACCTTCGTCAACAAACACGGGGCGGAAGAACCCGGCATTGATGGCGGGTAAGTATTTGATAACTTTCTGAGTTTGTCGTTGATCGCTTCTTCGTTTATTATAATTTATCTCATCAAACTAACCCCTACCGATTCCCCGACTATCTCGTCACTGTTCAATGTTTTTGAACACCTGCTTGCTCTGTGAACAGAGGCGTTTTCAAGGAATTTCTCGATGATTTGATAAAAGACGGTTTTGCAGCTAAGAGTGACGCCGACAAAGAGGGTGGCGCCCCTCGATTATTCTCGATAACTCCAAAACAACAACAACTGACCATGAATTTTGACTTGACGGAAGACAAAAGCATGCTCGTGCATTATGAATTCCTTGGTAGGGTGCTCGGAAAGGCGGTATACGAGGCTATTCTGGTAGAACCACAATTTTGCCTTCCTTTCCTCAATCAGCTACTGKGAAAAGTGAACACATTAGAGGATTTGAAAAACTATGACGAAGAATACTACAACAACTTGAACAAACTCCGTCACTTCACAGAGGAAGAAATAGACAGCTTGGGATTGACGTTTGAGCTGACGGTCGGGGGTAGTTCACCCAATGCTACACCTCGAACAGTCGACCTCGTCCGTTCGGGGCGATCCATTGCTGTATCCAAAAAGAACGTGTTCCAGTATTCCCAGGCAGTGGCCAACGAACTCCTCAACGTTCTCGGGGCTAACCAGACCCGGGCATTTCTGAGAGGTTTCCGAGATCTGATCAAGGTCGCATGGATTCGGTTGTTCTCGGCAAGGGAACTGCAAAAATTGATCAGCGGTGATGACTCTGTGCGCGGAATCGATGTCAGTTGTTTGAAGAAAGCAACGCATTACCTCGGGGGCTACCACGAGTCGCAACCCTACATCCAAGATTTTTGGGACATTCTCGAAAACGAGCTGAGCCCCGAACAACAGCGGAAATTCTTGCGATTCATGACGTCCTGCAGCAGACAACCCTTACTTGGGTTTTCTTCGCTGGAACCCTTTCCGGCGATACAACAGATACGCTTGCAAGACACCGAGCGTTCGAAGAATAGCAGGCTTCCGACGAGTTCAACGTGCATGAACCTACTCAAGCTTCCTAATTATCAGGATCGAGCTCTGTTGAAAGAAAAACTCATAGCAGCAGTCGAGTCGGGCGCTGGCTTTGAGCTAACCTAAAACCTCATATTTATAGAATAGATAGTAAGAAGTTTACTGTGCATTCAATATCAACACTGCAAGCCTAGAACTTAACGTGAGTCAAAAGTATGAATTGAAGAGTATGACTGAAAGTCATTCCCGTCTCCGCAGTAAAGGCCAACCTTGGACATTCATTAGTTCTATCAGTCTTGTGCAGTGACATGGCCGTGAAGTTCTCTCAGAAACTCGTCGTGGTTCAAAAAAGCTGTTCCGATGTGACCGAACTCGGCAAAAACCCGAGACGATACATTGGTGAAGTGGTTGGGCTCGTCCTTGTCGGTATTGTCGGCGTGTTTGTTGGCGATCCACTTTCCATGGGAGGGGGGGCAATCCTCGTCGTCCTCGGCATACCAGACTACCACCGGAAGGTCTTTCCAAATTTCCGTCACGAGAAACCCGTGGTCGAGCAGCGTATCGGTGGCGTAATTGTACAATATCCCCTGGTCAGAATGGGCGACGCAACGTTCCATGTCCACCTTGCACGTTTTCATCAGGTGGTGGTGGTCCGTCATCAGGCGTTCGAGTTTCGCGAGGGCTCCCGGGTTGAGCAAGTTGACAAAGGCACTCATCAACCGTCCCGGTTTCTCAAAGGCATCGCCGGGCCTGGAGGCAAAGGAAGTGAACAAACGGGCAATGACGGTCCCGATGAGGGACGTGTTTGCCGACGTGGATGTGTAGCCGATGGAGAGATGGTTCTCCAATTCCAGTTGTTTGCAGGATTCCGATCCTAGATAGGGGACGCGCAAGCCCATTCCGATGCAGGAGACACCAGACTCGTGTTTACCGCCGGTCTCCTTCTCTTCCGCAAACTGCCAGGCAGTAGCCAGGGCATGGCATGTGCCAAAGCTGGTGCCGGTGACCAGAAATTCCCCGACCTTTTCCTTCTTCAATACGGGCAACAGGTCCGTGATGGGCCAATCTTTTATCCTACGACCCGGCTGGATCGAGCTGTACCCAAAGCCCGGAACCGATACCGAAACTACCTTGTAGTTGAGCTCCTCGGCGGCACCGACATGGGCCGGAACTGCAGAGAACAAGCGGCCGGTGCAGTTGCCACCTGGACAATCAACCAGGACCCTTGCGTCCGGAGAGGAAGACCCCGACACAAAGTATTCTACGACCCGTCCATCGTCCAAACGGATCCATTTCCCCCCGTCTGCTTCGATCAAGGACGTGTCGATTGGATCCGGATACGGCCGAATCGCCCACATGGAGCTCGATTCCGGTAGGAAAGAGTGATCGCTTTTGGTTTTCTCTTTCTCCGACATGATGTATTGGGTCCGATCAGACTTCTGTGCGATGCATCAATAGCTGGCAGTGTGATTCTGTCGCGCAATACTGTTGTCCGCGCTTTCTTTCTCCTTCCGACTTCGTGTTTCTTGTTCACAAGGATATTGATGACCAATTACTGTCACGACTAAGAAGATTCGGCATCTTTGGTGAGCCGGTTCGGTACCTCGTACCATACCTTCTTACGGTATAATRCCAGGTACCGGATACCACATGGTATGTTCATGATTTTCTGAGGATGACCCATGAGATATGAGATCTCCTATCAAGGACTGTGGTACGTAGTACGTACCAGTACTAGAAGTAATTGCGTACGAGAAACGAGAATGTTGTTACATTACTGTAGTACTTACCGGCCGGTACACTGGTACGTGTTTACCGTACGGTGCTGAGCATTCGAAATCCGAAAATCTGTTACTGTACGAATAATACGTACTATATGTACTGTATCTAAGTAACTCCTACAAAAAACAAAAACGCCTTTTTACTTTTTAATCTCGCTGATCTAGCGATGAAAAAATCGTTCGTTTTCTGTAATGCATTGGATTTTGATGCGCGCACGGACGCAACAAATTTGTCGYATGCCAAATTTTGACCAAAAACGCACAAAAAAGAAGAGCACGACCAGAAGACATCGCATCGGATGGTGAATGCGTAGGCTTCGGGAAGTAGGAAAGCTACATGGAATGCTTCACCAATAATATAATAATAGCCCTTGGGAATCATCTCAATCGTTCTCGTCTTAAGATTAAGTGCCAGCAAGAGCGAGCATCGAAAACTACGAGGAAGAAAAGAGTACCAGGTACGTACCAGACCATACTGTCGTAGCGTAGAACCGGAAACCRAGTCCTACTATGAAGAGAATAGCGGTTCGTTCTGGCTCATCTTCCCTGGCGCCAGACGATGACTTCAACGAACAAATTTTAACAACGTTCAAAATATCAGTGCCAAATTCACATKTCGGGAAAGTTTGGAGACTCAATGCCTTATTCCATCGCCAACAAGTACGAAAACAATAATTGACGCTACAGAAACAGATTGGCTTTCTCAATCAATCGGAAGTAAGAGTTATCCTCCAGACAAGGAAGAAAGCGAGAATTCATCGGGCAGGGGACCAGTCGTCCTGATTTGAAATCGGACTCGGCGACAAAAAGAGGCACAATACATACTGTTGAGCGATTCATCCGAACAAACGACGCAGCGCACTATACATTTGCCATCGAACAAACGAGAAGTTTTAAAATGAAGCCGAGCTTATTGAGCAAGATGATCACATCGGAGGACTGGCACAAGGTTGTCCAGCTCTGCCAGGGGTCGCCGAGCGAGGCCAAGAAATGGACGACGCGGCAGGGTTTTTTTGAAGGAATGAAGGACGCAAACGTTCTTCCCATTCACGAGGCGCTCGTTGGCGGGGCACCCTTTCAGATCATCGAGGCTCTGCTGAATGCATACCCCGATTCTGTGTATTGCAAGGAGAGTAGCTACCAGAGACTACCCCTGCACTGCGCCTGCCGAAAGAACGCCGTTCCGGAAGTTGTCGATCTCTTGTTGCGGAGGTACGCCGACGCTGCACTGACGCCCGACAGTCTCGGGAGATTGCCGTGTAAGTTTTCAATTTTTATCGCAGATCTACGAACGCATCGCACTTGGGTCTGTAATGAAAATGTTTGACAATAACGATGTGTTCGTTTTGAACAGATTCGTGAGTGCCACATCCTTTTTTGTCTTCAGAAGCCAAGGCTGTTACGGCACAGGAAAATAATCGTCTCGAGTCGATCAGGAGAGTCCATGGGTGGAAAGGTTTGAACAATACCCACCTCTGGATTGGTCGAGCAAAATTCGCACAATGTTTACACCGCTATGCGCACTCACCGATACTCTTCGATTTCCCTTTCTTTTCGTCGACGTCAAAAAAATTAAAAATGCAACGCAGTACACTATGCTTTATCCAATGGCGCTAGCCCAGCCATTGTAGATTGTATTCTCACGAAAAGACCGAACAGTGCGAGGGGATTCGACAAACGTGGCTGGACGCCACTGCACGTGGCCTGTGGCGTTGGCGCGAAGATGGGCGTCATCAAGGCCATTGTCGACTCCTATCCCGAGGCAGTGTTGATGCGAACAAACAAGGGATCGTCGGCAAAGCAGTGCCTGAGCCTGACGAATGCACCAAACAAGGCCGAGGTCAAACAGATGCTCCAGGCTACATTTGCTCGGGTAGAACAGAAATATCGTCCGGCACAAGCACCGAAATCGGAGCGCGTGCTGGTGTAATAGAACAATCAGTCCACGCAAAGGAACACGAAAACCAGAACTTTTGTCTGGTTTCAGGGGAACGTTTTTGGAATTAACATTCTAGAAAATTTGCGTATTCGTCTTAACCACATAATTATAAGCAAGAGTCAGTCCGAAAGGCTCACATGATGATGTCTTTCCACCGTTTTTGTTCAATGGGAAAAAGATGTATACGTTCAACCACGAATTCAGTACTTCTCTACTACAGAAATACCAAAATCACCTCGATGATAATAATAATAATATGGTGCTATCAAAGTGTTACATGAATTCTAATACGAAGACTTCTGACCTCTCGAACTGTACCGTTGTCGAACGTACTTCCGCAAAGCATCGCGCTCGACTTTTGCTTTCACTGCTGATTGCTGATCGCTAGCTGTAGAATCAAATCCAGACCCGTTTCCGTCATCGAAATCTTGCCATTCTGTGTCACCAACTTGACTGTCGAATGAATCCTTCGAAAAGTGTTCCTCAACAGAGGCAAAATCGGCGTGCCCAGAGAATCCATCGTCACTTCTCGAACTAGTGTTCTGCACCCTGTTCGAGGGTGAAAAAGATCCCGAGTCCATGGACATTTGTGAAGACAACTGCAACTGGCCTTCAACAGCCATCTCTGAGTTTGGGGGATTGGAAAAGTTTGTAAATTCTGTTGACTGCGTGGAGACAGCAGATATGTCATCTTTGACATTTTCTCTCATTTGCCTCCCATCGAATTGTCGCAGTTGATCTTTGAGGCGCTTGCATTCCAATTTTTTGTCCTTCAAATCCCTTTCGAGTGAAAAAATCTTGCGTTGTTGTGTTTCGTTCTCGGTCCTCAGACGATCAATGTCCTCATTGACTTCGTCCATTCTTCCCATAATACCAGAATGCTCGTTTGCGTCTTTGTGTTTGTAGCGCTTTTGGATATCCTTCGCTGATGCCAATGCTTTTGTGGCAATAATTTTGGCATGTTGAAGCTCTTCGTCCCTTCTCTGCAGAAGTTCTGAGAGAGATTCGATTTCATCCTCGCGGTTCTGAACTTCATTAATTACACCTTCAAGCGCAGCAATAACTTCTGCTTTTTCAGAGTTCGCCTTTTTCAATGATGTCGAAATTTCTTTCCTTGACGCGGAAGCTTCCTCGAGTTTTTGTTCGAGAGATTCGATCGATTCCCTGGAGTTTGCAACCGTCGCCTCAAGGGCATTGACTTTCTGCCTTAGTTCCAATGCCTCGGATGACACCGAACTAGCAGAATCAAGGTTGTTTCTCAACTGGTCAATTTCCAATTGAAGATGGTGTTTCGTATCAGTGCCCTGATCAAGCTTCGATTCGAGTTCCATCACATAGATCTTATACCTATCGGACACTTGTCTAAGTTCGCGTTCCTTACGTTCAAGCCTGGATGACAACTCCGACATTTTGGATCTGGCTTCATCCTTMGAACGGGATTGAGTATGAAGCTTTGTCTCAAGTTCAATTCTCTCAACTTCGAAGCTACGAAGCTTCGATTCCTTCTCGTCGAGTTCCTTGGAAAGCGATTCGGCTTTGAGTCTCGCATTCTCTTTGCTTCTAGTAGCAGCTTCTAATTTGGCCTCCATCTCGGCTGTTGACTTCAACAATTCTCGGATCTTGTCATCCTTTCTGTCTGCTTGAGCCTGGACTGTTTCTACCTTACCTCCGGTACTCGTCATCGCAGCAGAATGCTCGTCAAGCTTGGCCTCCAGAACCGCAATTTTGTCGGTGTACTTCGTAACAAGTTCGTTGATCTGATCTTTTCTCTGCTTCAGCTCTGTCTCTTTCCGTTCAAGAGAAATCTTCATATCCTTGTTTTCGGTCGACTGAAGTTCGAGATTGCTTCGGAGATCAATGATCGCTTGCTCCATGTCGATGATTTGATCTTCTTTTCGCTGCAACTCTTCACGCGTTGATTGGGACAAATCACGATATTCGTTGTGTTCCTGCTTCACACTCTTAAGCGCGGTGATGTCTGCTCTGTACTTACTCAAGGCCTCTCTGAGTTCAACCTCTTTCTTCAGCAAGTCCTTCTTGGCTTGTTCCAGCTCATTTTTGACCTGATCTCTTTCTTTGTAAGCGCTGCCGAATTTATTTTCGAGCGTCGCTGCGGTCTTTGTGTGTCGTTGAACGATTTGTTGCGTTTCCTGCTGCTTGTCTTCCAATTCGTCTCTAGCACTAGCAAGGCGGTCTTCCAGTTCCACTCTTGTCTGGGTTTCCTCTTCAAGCTTGGTCTCGAGTTCCGCTATCGTTCGGGTATATCTTTGTACGGCTTCTCGCAAATGGTCGTCTTTTTTGCCAATGTCTCTACTGATTCCCTTCATCGTGTTCTCGTTCTCTTCTCTCAGTTGTTCGTTATCTGCTCTCAAAATCCTGAGATCCGATTCGTTGCGCTCGATTCCGGACTTGAGTTCCTTGATCGATCGTCTCAAATTGCTGCTCTCGCCGTGTTCTCTGTCCAGATCAAATTCTAGGTTTTTGACTGTCTTCTCGAGGCGTTCCAGTAGTTTTTCCTTCGTTTCCAATCGTGAGGTGAAATCCTCCTCCGAAAGTGAATACTTTTGCTCGAGTTCGAGAACCTTCGATCTCGATGATTCGTAGGCAGACTTCATTTCAAAGTAATCGTCCTGCGCCTTTTTCTTATCGTTCTCAGCGAGAGACAGGGAACGTTTCAAATCGTAAACATCATCTTCGAGCTTACTCATGTCAGACAGAGCTCGCTTGAGTTTGCCACTCTCCGATTCAAATCCTTCCGCCCGATAACGCTCCGATTTGAGGTCATCTCGTAGTTTCTCGAGTTCCGACTGGGCTTGTTTCAGATTTAGGTTGGTCGTTTCGACCTCTTCCTCTGCGGCTTTCAATTTTCTTCGACCCTTTTCGACCTGGTCGCGCAGATCTTCGATGTCGGTAACCATTTCGTTCTCGAGCTTCGAATGTGCAGATTGCATGGTAGCAATTTCGTCCTTCAGCTTCCTTTCCGTTTCCATTAATTTGGTCTGTTCTGTTTCGAGCAGAGTTGCGTTCTTTTTCAGCTCTTCTGCTTGGTCCTTTTGCACCTCTTCCATGTCATCGTGCGTCCTCTTGCTCTCCTCCAATCGCTCCTTCAGCCTCGAGATCTGGTTGTCTTTCTCTGTGAACTCATTAAAGTATGAGTTCAGACGACTGTGCAAGTGGTCCAGTTCTTGTTGTCTGGTCTGGTCTTGGCGCTGGAAATCCTCGGCCGCATCCCGTGATTTTTGCTGAGCATCCTGCAGTCTTGTGGACAAGCTCATCTTCTCCTCTTCGGAAGTGCGTTTGAGCGATGCTAGTTCCGCTTCGAGCCGGCTGACCTTGTCACCTTCCGTCATTCTGATTTCTTCGCGTAGTTCCTCTTTCATGGACTCGAGATTCTTTTGGTTGCGAATCCTTGTCTCTTCGATTTCTTTGTGATGGCGATCGGTCTGGTGTCTTAATTGTTCTTGCATTGCTTTCAGCCTGTGCTCGTATTCTCTAGAGGCTTTGGCACGCTCCGCCACAAGCTTTTGAGCCGTGCGTTTTTCTTGGTTCCTGGTCGCTTTTTTCCCTTCCTCGAATCTAGCGTCTGCCTCTACGCGAAGGGCTTCCATTTCCGCCGACATATCAACGATCTTGTTTTCGTAATCCATCCGTGTCGTTTGTGCCTCGTTTTCCGCTCTGCGAAGCGTTTCCATTTCTACCATCATGTCGTTGATCTTGTGCTCGTATTCGGAATGCTGGATTTTGGCCTCGTTCAGCTCGTTCTCTTTTTCCACGAGCGAAGCATTCCTTTCCGTGCATTCTTGTTCTAGGCGTGTGTACCGATCTTTCGACATGTTGAGCTGTTGCTCTAAAAGCGTGATCTGAGATGCGTGGGCATCCTCCAAATCCCGGTTGCTTTCTTCCATGAGTTTTGTGGAATTGCTGAGGTCTTCTTTGAGACCCGACACCTCGGATCGTTTTTTCTCCACTTTCTTCACGAGGGTTGCGTTCAGGTTTCGAGCCTCCGTGAGTTGCAGTTGCAGGGTTTCCTCGTTGCTCAAGAGTGTATCGACCTGTTCCTTCTCCTTTGCCGCCATTGCCCGATATTTTTCGACGTCAATCTCTAGTTTTTGGGTAGAGTTCCTGGCTGCGTTCAAATCCGCATGATACGCATCCGCCTTTTCTTGGGTTCGGTGGAGTTTCTTGAGGTTGGTCTGCAGTTTTTCTTCGTATTCCTTCACGAGGGATTCCTTTCCCTTTTGGATGTTGTAGAGTTGCTTCCTGAGTTCCGTGGAAACTTTTTTGAGTTCGGTTTCGAGCCGTTGTATTTTCGTCTTGTCGTTGTCGTGCTCCTGGAGAGTTATTTCGTACATTTCGATCGTTGCCTGGTGGGAAAAGCGTTCCTGTTCGAGAATCTGTAGTTTTCGAACGATGGTTTGGCATTCCAGCTCCAGGGAGTTTCTGTCCAGCCTGGCAATGCTCCGAGGCGACAATGGCTTGTAGGTTTCCAAGCCCCCTCCTTTCGTGTTTTTGTTCGCGGGAGGCGGTGGAGGAAGTCTTCCCCCCGCCCTCGCCGGCGACGACGCACGTATCGATGTCGGGGGCCCGTTTGCCTTCAGGTTTCTGCCGGGTGTCCTCGGGGTGGACGGACCGGGAGTCTCCATCTCGATTTCCTGGAAGAACTTGAGCTCTTCCAAGTCCTGCAGCATTCCACCGATTTTGGTTTCCGCCTGGCGGAGACGCTCTTCCGCCTGGATTTCCTCCTGCGACAACATGGATCCCACGGGCTTGAGCCCGAGCCCACCAGCGGTTGGGGAAGTCCCCCCGCTCTTCTGGGGCACGAGGGCAGTGATGTGGGATGGTATCGCGGAAGGGGGTCGATTCATCTGCGGTCGCTTGTTGCGTGTGTTCGTTTCTCGTCGCTCCCGGAGATCGAGGATCTGCCGCGCCACGGACGAGGGATCGTCGTGGTTGCCGCTGTTGTTGCCGCCGTTGTTGGCGTTGTTGTGGCCGGAATTGGTCCCGGTTGGGTCCTGCCGGAGCCGGTTGGCACTGATCGCCCTGGGACGCAGATTGCTCCTCGGCTGGGACTGGAGGTGCCGGGTGCTCCCCGGCCTGGTGCCGGAAAGACCGGCGCTCCGGCCGTTCGATTGGTATCTGACGGTAGACTGCGATCGCCGCTGCAGGTGTCCCCCGCCGTTTGCGCTGAGGACGGCGTTGGCGCGGTCCCAGGCATCGCTGGAAGCCGCCTTGTGCGGCATCGTGGGTCGTGGCTGGGACGAGTGCCTCGGGGTTCGGCTCACCATCCTTTTCGTCGCTGCACTTGCTGCCGTCGCACTGGTGGTGGATACAGATCGCTCGGCTGCTCTCCGTCCCGTCCTGTCCTGTCCTGGCCGGGAATGGAATGGAATTCACCGCGCCCCTCTGCGGATTGCGTCGGGGATCGGAGGTACCGTACGGTGCGAGAGTATCGGTGTCGCGGTTGCGGTTGCGGTTGGCGTGCCAAGTATTCTGCTCGTAGTTGCTGGTTGTCTTCTGGTTTTTTCGAAAAAGGTTGTGGCAGGGACCGCAGTCGGGAACGGTGCGACCGTACCGTACGTTAGGTATTCGTATTGTACTTCTACCCCGATACGGAATACCGTAACAGCATCCTGTGATGTGAGCCGGGGCGTTTTCCTGCCGTCCCGTTCGGGCACTACTGTATTGCTAATGCTAATTCTAGAACTCGTTCGAGGATCGAAACTCGTACGAAGTACTACCGTACGTATGAAGTGCGAGTGCTCGCGTCGCACGAGTTCACAGGTTCCGAGGCAGGGGTTCTTTGGTACCGTACGTACGGTACCGTACAACCGGYACGAATGCGGGCGAAGTACRAGTAGCAGTCGTACTCGCGATCGGATGTCCTCGCCTCCTTTTTCGCCGTTATTTATTGAGATTTAAACTGATATCAATCGTGGGACGCGACAGCCCCACCAACGTAAAAATAGCGCGTACAAGACTAAATTCTAGTTCGTCCCAAGCGAGCAAGGCGACACGGCCGAAAATGGTGGTTCGTCCGCTGGGTGGGTGCTCTCACCCCCAAACTACTCGGTTGTCGTGCCAAAAACATTTCCCCCTAAATGAGTGTYTCTCTTCGGGCCTCAGAAAAAATCGAAATCGAAACAGAAACCTCGACAAGCTCGATCAGAAGCAACGACCCAACAATTCAGTGAGCCAAGGTGCAACAGTACGGTACCCTACGATACGTACGAGTACGTACCGTAGTGTAGGGCAGCATCGAGGATCGACCAAGACACCAAGTGGCGGCAAGCATCAATAAAGCATCAATACAACCACAAGCCCGTTGGACAACGCTCCGCTCCGCACCGCACAACCCGCCTACCAATCGAGACTAGCATCGCATCGCAGCCGCAAAAGAGCAGTATTCCCGGCGCAGAGACAACCACCATTTCTTGGAAATGCAATCCACGAAGATCGCCATGGGCAGGGGGTCGATTTCGACCTCCCACGGGCAAATCAGGATACTGAAGCACGCCACCCCGGACCTCCTGACCTACATCCAAAAGGCCGTCCAAACCGGTGTGTACCGCAGCTCCGACGAGATCGAGGAGATGAACCAGAAACTGAGAGACAGCCCGTCGGACCTGAGGAGGGTGCGGTGGAACGTCCAGCGGGGATCGAAGATCCAGGACTATCCGAAAGAATACGAGATCCTCTCGCTGAACCCCCCGGCCCCGTTCAAGCCAAAGATCCCGGTAAAGGACCAGAAGAAAATCTACAGCCAGTACGTCCGGGAGAACCGCCCGACGGACCGCCTGGCGCAGAACTACCTCAATCGGCAGAAGCAGACGAACCGGGACGGCAGCGAACCCACGACGGCAGACGAATACTACCGCCGCCTGCTGGGAGCCAACAAGGCTCCCAAGGCGGGTTCGGCGATGGGGTCCAAGAGTGCGATGATCGCAAAGGCCTACGCCGTGGCGGTCAAACAATACGAGGTGATGCGAACCGACAACCTGAGCGAAAAAGAAGCCATGGAAAAGGTGGAGGAACTCCTGGCGAAGGACGACCTCGAAGAGAAGACCTCCAGCCGGACCAAAGCCCGGGACCTGCAGAAGACGGCACAGGAAGCCTCCGGAACCGACGCGGACGACCTCGTCCAGCGAGCGCAAACCGCATTCCCGGGCGCGAAACCCAAGGAAGAGATTCTCGGTCGGCGCGGAAAGAAAGAGGGAACCACCGGTGCCAAGGTGGACTACGACACATCGGTTTCCATGCTGTACTCGGAAAACCAACGATCCTTCGAAGGGATGATCAACTGGACCAAACGGCTGCAGGCCGTTCCCTACAACCGTTGGACCGTCGGAGCCTCGGTGTCCCTCGATCACTGGATTGCCAAACGCGTCCTCGGACTGTCCGAAGAAACATGGCTGGCTCTGCTCGAAGGCAATTCGCCGGAGTTGATGGGTCGGGGAAGAGAGTGAGTTCCGTCCCTGGTGCTGCCGGTGTTCGGTGCTGTTCCGGTTTTTGGGTTTGGTTTGCACGCCCCACGGGATTTGCGACGAGATCTATATCGTTTGCCAAACCGTCGTCTTTTGTGTCGTTGGCGCTCACGCTGCTCTTTGCTCTTTCGAATCGTTGTTGTGGTCTATTCCCCTCAGTATCGTCATGGCTCGCCATGCGCTCTTCCCGGAAACGGTCGTGGCATCGGACTTCCAGTCTGCGGCCGATGCCGAAATCGATGGCACGAGCGACGAAACAAGCAGCGGGGCCGAAGACGATCTGGATGCGCTTCTTGCTACGCTGGAAGGATGGAATTCGTCGGACAACAGCGGAGAAGAATCGTCCGAGACAACGACGACACCCGACGACGATTCCGCCTCGTCTCTGGAGGAGAAACTCACGGAAGAGCTGCAAGCCTGGAGGAGCCAGCACGTCGAACAAAACTATGACAATTGGAATCTGGAGAAACAAGAAGAATTCATGGTAAGTGCAATTTTTCTTGAAGCCTCTTTCGACGCATAGAAATCGGCACCGGCATCGGCATCGACATCGGCATCCATCCGCTTGGAAAGGCACGGTAGAAGAACTCAGGCTGACCAAACTTTTGTTCTCGTTGCAATGCTTCTCGTGATTTCGAAAACTAAAGTCGTGGCTGGAAACATTTGTGTCGTCCCAAGTTCCGGAATCTTCTCTGGGTCGAGTCGATCTCGAAGAAACCAGAAAGAACATTCTGGAATCCCCACCCCAACAAAAGGAAGATGCCGATGCTTTCTGGAATAGCATCAGCGATGAAACTTCTGCCGAATTATTTTTGCAATCACTGCTTCAGGAAAACAAGATTGGTTCCGAGCATCCGTTCTTCGAACTGGATTACAAGACACAACTCGAGCGCCTCGTAAATCTGGGAACCATCGGAGAAATCGCAAACGAGTACGCAACGGAAGCCGATCGTTCCAAATTCCTCACGCGATACGGGGACTATCTTCTTGAGGGAGTTCAGTTTGATCACTTGGTTCCAGATTCGTCTGGTCCCATCAGTGGATCCGACCTGGGACAGCATCTCCGAGAGAAATACGACATCGATTCGTCGGATCGATTTGCTCTCAAGAAGATCGATCACGGGGCCGAGGGTTTCGACTCGAAGGCTTCCAAGAATGCTCGCATGCTGTTCGTGGCATGGAATCAATTCAAGGCCGGCAGAGCCCATTACGAGGAGAAGTTGTTCAAGAAGGGACTCCTTGGTTTATCATACGAAACGTCAAAAACCAAAAAATAACTTTTCTTGCCCTAAAAAAATAGACATGCAACAGCATACATAGAATTGTTGAATACATCGCTGCATTCCATGCTACTATTGCTCGCAGCCAACGCGCTTTTGAGGGGAGTTCGGTTCATGGGCTTTTTCAACAGATATTGCCGCGATGGATCTTTTCTGAGCCATTCTCAAATCACCATGGACATGTCCTGCATTCTCGATGGGTTCTTATTGTTGTGTTTCACATTTGGGCCACGACCATCTTAGAAAAAAAAGGATTTGCTAGCCTTCCAAATGCATGATAGTTGAACAAGAGCCATCATAGACTTTTGATATCTATCATGATAGAAAGTGGTACTATGAAAATTTCTTTAAGTAACCATCAGTTCGCCTCATAGTATATATGTCACTATGAAAGGTTCTTCAAGTAACCACCAGTTCATACGTTCTTCCTGTTTGCTTAGAGAGGCTTGCTCGTAAAGCTCAACAGGATAAATTTTATTTGTTTAATAACTGATGGTGACTCTTTTCCCAACACATTGATTACTAGTTTGTCTGGTACCTCAGTATTTTTTCAAAATAAAATAATTTCCTGTAAATCCCTCAAAACAAGCAGAAACAAAGAGTATAGTTCTTTCTCTTTGTTTAACAGGCAATATTCTGTTGTTTCTCATTGTTATAATGAAGACAAACAAAAGAACTATGCCTGTCCTTGTTTCTCTTTGTTTCCCAGGCATTAAATAAGGAGAATATTGCCTGGGCAATATTATCATTGTTCTCTTCTTGTTCTTTCTTGTTTCAACAAAGAGAATTTAATTTGGGCAGCAGGAATCCTCTCTTTTTTCCAAATCAAAAATGATGGGGGAATTTTTCTTCTTGTTCACCCAATTAGAAACAAATATAATACTGCCTACTAGGCAATATCATCTTTGTTTCTTTATGTTTAGACAAAGAGAAACAAAGATAACACCAATATTGCCTCTTGGTCTTGTTTCTCTTTGAATTCTCCATGTTTATACAAAGAAACAAAGAGAATATTGTCTGGGCTATTACTCTCTTTGTTTCTCTTTGGTAAAACACGGAGAAAACCTTTGGGAAATCCTCATCTTGGTTGGTGACAGTCTTCCTCAATAACGAACGGAGGGCCCTGTGTATGACCCAAATTCTTACCTTACTTCCATTGTAATTTTCAGTCACGGTACCAATGTTATGTACAATATGGTCAGTACGTACGTAGCATACCGGCGCGAGGGCAGGATTTTTGGATTTTTGTATTTTATGATGCTTCGCAATTTTTTATTTTTATGCTGCTTTGTCGTGCGTTCGTCAAATTTTTAGGATTCGCTTTGATGTGAGAATACTACGAGTACTGGTACTTGTACGTACTCGTACTGTTCAGAAAGACGAGAACGACGTGCGTGTAAATCTCGTGGACAGAGCGTGTTCGTGACGTATGATGTTTATGATTAAATTCCGTCCGCCGATTTCACTGTATTTCCACTGGTACTCGTGAACTCTGCTTTTTGACCACCTGATTGCACCTACCGGTACAAAACGCTTCTGGAAAGCGACATCCGCCAACACGTAACGAGAAGGTCCAGGCAGAACCCCCAACCAACTGACCACATCACAACAAGAACTGGAAGTGTGTAATCGTACAGCATTTAATCTTTATTGGCAGACTAAAGTGTCCAAAACCTTCTACTTCCAAAGAACACACCATTCGATCCTTCATCATCCTGCAAATTACAAGCGACTGTTTCTTCCAGTAATCACCCAACAAGATCTTACACGGATAATCGACGTAAGAAAGTGCCATCAACTACAGATCAATTCCATCTCTACCAAACTTCTCGACTGATCGTGACAAAATGGCTCGTTCAATTTGGCCATCGTTCACAACTTACATAGTAACAATTGCACTGTTGGTCGTCGAAGCTGAGGCCTTTACGACAGCTCCGGAATGTAGGAGAATTACGAATGCCAATAAAAATATTTTCGGAAGAGTCCAACAATTATCGATGGTGGCGCAAATGCCGACGTCAAATGTTACTATTGACGACATGATGCTTGCGGACAGCGTGTTCGTGGATGAGGTCAACGTCGAAGATGCCAAATACAAGGATGAAGACGAAGAAATTGAGGATCTCTCTACAGTAGACACAATGGAAATTAAGAAGCGGCTGTTAGACCTCCTGCCTCGAATGAAAGGTACGCCAGAGGAATACAACATGGTAGAATCGTACGTCAACACGTTAGAAGATCGCTACACACCAGTTCAAACTCTGGATTTCCTGAACTTAGCTATGTCTGGCGAGTGGCAACTCCTATTTTCAACCAACCTCGGGGGAAGTATGAGAATGAATTTCCGACTGAGCGAACTCTTTCAACGAATCGAAGCTAATTCTCTCAACGGAACAGTCGTTAACGAGGCCACATGGTCTCTGGCCGAAGATCACACAGACCCTACACCAGCCACTTCTTTTGAAGCCTTTGGGAAATTTTCGATCAAGTGTTCGTATTCGATCAACCAAGGTGCAAGGATGGTCATGGAATTGAACGATCACGTCATCGAATTATCGAAGGGATCAAAGGTTCCCAAGGATCCAGAAAAACTTGTAGGTATGCTGTACAGAGCTATTCCGACGGAACTCTTCGACCCTAACGATCACGCTATGGATACGACATACTTAGATGGCGACCTACGAATTGTAAGGATGGCTGGTCCAAAATTCGAATCTGTCCGTGACATTTTCATTCGAAGGGGCAGTATTGAAATCAACCCTGTGTAGAAGGCACTGAAAATAGGTTTCAGTTTTGTAACCTGTGTTCGTAGAACTCAAACAAATGAAGCATTTGGCCGACTGGATGTCAAAATTTTAGCAATTGTTCAATGATTGGTGGGTCGGAGACGAGAAGTCGAGGGGAAGGGGAAGGAGAACCTTGGTTCATATCAAAAAAGACTTTTGATAGCGGGATTGTATTTGTCCTGGTGGCTATAACAGATAAACGCTCAAGCTAAAAAGCTAAACATTCTTGTGAAAGCATCATCCGTTGAAAAGAATTTTGCGTACGATGTTATCAGCACTCATCACAGCGGAAATTAAAGAGCATCTCATGACATACGTGAAAACGGCTTGAATAAAACGAAACGTAATTCTAAACATTCATTTTATCGTTACTTTCCTGACCTAAACCAAACATCGTTTGTCGCAAGAACACACTAGAGATTCGTTTTCGATAATACCGCATAACTTTCGGTGATATTATTTCTTTTACCTCAAACGGATTCGTAATTTTTGAAGCGCACTTTTTCTCTCTCTGCCCTCATTCTTTTGCTGAGGTCGGGTAAGGGACCCTCATCTCTTTATTGTTACTTCTTCGAACGTCCTGTCCTGGTGGTATCGATACAATTTAATGGTGTACGGCGTATGTATGTACTGCACATTATCTCACGGTACGGTACTACTGGTACGTACCACACCATACTACGCATGGAAGAATCGTGCTGAACTCCAGTTCATAAAAAACTAATAGTACCAGGTACTGGTACTCGTACCCTAGTACTCGTACCCTAGCAGGGGTCATAATTTAGACCCCTGTACCCTAGTACGTACTCGAACCTCGAACCTCAAACACAATACTACTTTGTGCTGTGAATTTCTTATGATATTAAGGTACATACCGGTACCATAAGAGAATACGGTACATAGTAAGACCAGAATTACATTTTCGTTAAGTCTAGTGAGTCGATTTTAATATAGGAATATCAGGGTTTTCATTTTTCGTAGTGATCTGTGAACAAACGCATCGCTGAAAATTCGAAAATTCTGTTTCGCACACATTTTCTCACCAGTCCAGTCTATCGACAAATTTTCTGGTCGATTGTGTCCTTTCGGACCCACTATCACCTATCAACAACGAGAAGAGAAAGAAAGACAGCGTTTTCTAGTGGACGTAGTAATCTGTAGAGAAATAGGACTAGGTATTGTTCAGTTGCTGTTACTTCAACCATACGAATTTCGAAATAATGATGCCATCCTCTCTTGTCAGATCAGCCAAGAGGCAGAAATTGGATAGCATGCGTGGAAATCCTTACGAAGCGACAGGTGCTCTTAACACAAATGGGTACCACTACAATACTCTTTTATCATTGGTGGATATGCTTGTGAGTGTTCAGTCCTCAGACACAGAAGATTTCATTGAAATTATTGAAAAGATTCGGTCCCATCCATTCTTGCTTGAACACGACAGTCTTCGTAGGAACAAAGTGGCAGCTATTCACGATTACCACAAGACAGTGATGATATCCAAACTTCATGGAAATCTAATTCTACGCCTTGGTTTTCTGCTTGCTTCGTTCAAAGAAGTATCTTTAAGAGTATTTAGCTCTCTGGTATTTTGTTTACGGGATTTGTACACAAACGATGACATAAGCATGGAAAATCTCAATACAGAAGAAGAATTCGGAGAGCTATTCATTCTGATTCCTAAGGTAGTGCGAATAATAGACGACAAAATTGATGAATCGAATGTTTGCGAAGCGATAAAAATGCGAGATACTGTTTTGGGATGCTACCAAATAATGAAATCGTGGCTCAGGGCACCTCGCCTCCTCAAAAAGGTCCTTGCATATAGCAGTACGAACACGTTGGAAGATTTTCTGCTCAGCCTTATAATAGTAATAGACCAGAGAATCATCAAATCTGGAAGTGGAGAAGAAGAAATACAGAATGTCTTGGCATGCCTTGGATCGATATGCAATGTGGAAGCAGAATTTCGAATACTCCTGGATGTCACAAAATCGGCAGTGCAGTTACGCCAAGCATCGCCCCACGTCAATCTATCGCCCCCACTTGTGATTTTCTTTTGGAGATGCATCTCCCGAGTCCATTCCCAACGACAGACCAAATCTGAAAGAAAAATACAGCTTGATTTTGCAGACCGCGCAGTGGAGGCAATCATGCCGTATTGTGCATCCGAAGATCACCTACTTTCAAACAAGGCAACGGTCGGCATTACCGAATTAATTGGAGAAACAGATTACAATACACGCATACGATTGATAACCTTTATCGTAGAAAGTGTCAAAAAGAAAATTGTGGTTGACAATGACGGATCTTACGGGAAGGTCGAAGAGAATGAGATTGATGGAAACCTGGTAGCACTGCTGGAATGTTTTGGTTTATGTATAAACACCGAAAATGTTTGCGATTACTTTTTTCAAATCGATGAATGGGAAAAAGTATTTGATGCTTTGGTTTCTATTTCGGTTGACCAGAAAAATATATATGCCTCGGAAAAGAGTGCAGCGGTTGTCTTACCGATATTGAACTCGTTAGTCACAAAAGTCGAACAGCCCCTTGCACCTCTTTTCCACAAAGCAATCGAAATTTGTTTGGAACTGACACACTCAGAAAGCATATCGATTGTGAAACGAACACTAGACTTGTTGTTCGATCTTGTAGAGAACCCGGGGGTTGAAAGAAGGATAAGATCCGCCAGCCTCGCACCAGACATGATCAATGCTCTCGCGCTACTATCACCGAAAGCTTTTCTCCTTGAAGAGAGCACGAAATCAAAATTAGCTCAAACGTTCGCTCTTTTGGTCGAGGGGGTTGGAAACATTCACTTTCTCGCCAGGCAAACTTCGAACCTTGCTTTTCTTGTTCGTCTAGCGAGCGGATCCTACTGCGAAACCCTACAGAGCCGAGCGCAGCAAATTTCCGTTTCCGTGTTAATGAAACTGGCAAGAAATCCTTGCAATCGAAGGATCCTAGCAAACCAACCAGGTTTGTTGTCTTCACTCATTCGATACACCCGCATGACACCAGAGGGTACCGACCTGTTTGTTGAAAGTAAACTATCACGGAAGGAAATGAAGGATCAGATCCTTCTCGTAGCCGACGCACTATGATTCAATAATTGAAGGATAGAATAGATTTTCCTTTGACGATGCAGCTTCAAATCGAAGTAAAATTATTAGAAATTAAACTTTTCACGATCGGAGATTTCCATTATAACGCAGTGGCATACCGTAGAAGTCTGCATAGAGTGTTGCGACTACGAAGATCCGCTCAACGAACACATAAATCGCTTTTCTTCGATTCACTCCTTGCTAGCGCTGTCCTTTGAAAACTCTAACAGGCTGTTGGTGGCTGCTGCAATAAAGATGATCGATGCCCCGATATAAGCTTGTGGACCCCCTAGACTTTCCCCCAAGATTATCCAGGAAAAGAATGCTCCGTAAACTGGATCTAGACTGTAGATAATGCTGGCCCGTTCCGCTGGAACGTCTTTCTGCGCCTTGGCCTGAATGAAATTGGCCAGCGCGGTCGATACGGCTCCAAGGTACACGAGCTCGAGGGGGTGCTCCAGCGCGGTCCGGGTGACTTCCGACGCGATTTGTGGTCCCCCGTTTCCACCGAGGAGTAGCCACGCACCCGAAAGCATCGCAACCACAACCAATGATGTAGCATTGAGCTCGGATGCTTTAGTGACTTCGGAAGACGCCTTTTCCAACCGAAGGATGAACATGGCGGAGGCCGCCGCAGCCATGATGCTCCAGATATCGCCCACGTTCAGGCCCAGGGATTCGCCGTCGAGCGCCAGGAGGGCGGTCCCAGAAAAAGCGGCGAAGGCTGAAAGCCAGGTCCACTTGGAAATCTGGCGACCGAGCAAGATGTACGCAAAGAACGGAACAAACTTGACATTGAGATATAGCAGAAATCCAGAACGCTGAGCCGTTGTGGACTGCAATCCGATCGCCTGCAACGAAAAGCCAAGAAACATCCAGAGGCCCATTTCGATTCCCCATCGCCACGGCTTCCACAGATCTTCTTCTTCTTCGACCCTTGTCGTAATGTTAGATTCTGTTGGACTGGTAGTCTTCTGAAATATCTCCTTGACCCCAGGAAGATATGGAGATGCGATGAGACTGGCGAGTCCAAATCTAAGGAACGTGAACGCTGCTGGGTCGCTATCCTCCACAACCGTTTTGATGATGGCGTGCTGCGATCCCCAAATAACKGCAACCAAATTCAGCAATAAAATGGAGATTGGCGGAGCCTCTTCCTGCAAAAATCGAACCAGCTTTTCTGAAGAAATGACCAAGCGACGACTCTCGTCGTTGTCTTGGGAATCGCCGTCTACGTCCACGACTGCAAGAGGAATTTCAAAGTTCGGGTTGCTCGCACCCGAAGTATCACCATCATCGTAAATAGCAGTTGCTCCATCATGTCTCTCGCCGCTTTCATCCCGCTTTCCCTCGCTGCCTATCGTCTTCGTCATTTCGGTTGTAGCAGTTCCAGCCCCTCTGTCGCGAAGGACGGAGGTGTTGTTCGAGGTTATATCCTTGTCTTCGTCGTATTCGTAGTTGTCAAACGGAGATTCCGAAAGCCTCGTACTCCTAGATGTTCCAAATCTGCTACGCGATGTGGACACAGCACCTCCCCATGTAGTCGAATACGCATCAATGCCCGTGCGAACAACACTGCCACTTGCCAACACGCTGGCAGAGGTTGTAAGCCTTCTTTGTCTCATGCTGCTCGTTGGACTGCACGGAGGGCGCAGCGTCGATGCAGGCTGCAGCACAGTTCCTACCAATGCAGCGACCGTTGTTGCGGTCTTTGCATTGCCCTTTCGTTTCGTTGTCATTGTCGCTGCAGGACCTAGTTTAGCGACCCGTTGTTCGATCTGCCGATACGAGTGTGATAACGTGAGGAGAAGGTGACTGGAAGGTACGAAGTAAAAAAGAAATGAGGTGGAATTTTTGAAGGAAAAATGATCTGAAGAAATAAGGATTAAGTGAATGAAGTTCGATCTCTGGTACTCGTACTCGTTTGTACTGATGTTCTTGCTGCTGTACTTCTACTTCTCTATTTTTTGGTTGCAACAGAAATAGTTTCATTTCCAACTGTTGTACTAGCAGAATTATTAGTGCAAGGTGCACCAAGAAGTAAGGGTCATAAAATGGTGCTACAATTATACAACAATAGAACTCCTCCTGAAGCAGGTTCAAAATTGTGTCCAGGATCAAGCCAAAGAAAAAGAGTATGCCAAGTAAATCTGCAGTGGCTTTATGAAGAGGATTCTGATAACAAAAGGATCCAGAATTCTGAAATTTTAAAAGAGCAAAAAGATCGCAGATAAGTCCCTTTCTTTGATGGTGACTAATTGGAATGAAGAGAAGTCAATACTAGTAGAACAGAAGATACTAGTAGTTGATGATGAGAAAAATGTAACAATCTCAATTCATGATCAGTGGCATTGAGTGGTGTCATTGGATAGTGTTGACAAATCAATCCAAATGTTTGCAAAGGTTTTGAGAAAAAAGGACCTCCAAGAAGAATATTGAAAAAGTCACATAATTTTCAAATGACTTGATTCAAAGGATATCAACTACATAGACAGGAGGAGTGAAATGTGATATTCTGAGTGCATACTAGTATGCTATCATTGGTGCCCATCCTGATCAAAAATTTAGTACTAGAATCACTGATATTCTAAAAAAGTTACAGGGATGCACAATGATAACTCCTCCTTTCAACAGGTTGTTACCAAAAAAATCAATCATAGAGCAAATTGTGCAGAGAATGTTGCTGAATGCATTCAGAGAACATGTTATTTCTTGTTGCAAGTTGTACTGACCTGTCAAGATATCAAGCACAAATTATTTCAAAAATTATATCAGACTTTTCCTTTGAGTAAATAGTAGTATAGATAGATGAATTACTCTCAATCAATGTTTTTCAAATTGTATAAAATCAAGAACACATTACTCTGCTTGTAACTCTGGATGGTGTGCCAAGCGCAGGAAACTTTGGTGTGGTACCACTAGTTGAGGAATGTGGTTTATTTACGCCGGAAAAACATTGCTTTGATCAAAGATGCTTCCTACTGTATTACAAATTCAAAAATGACCGCTACTCTGTGAATCGATGGAACGCAACGTTCGGTTCCGCTCCGTTCGGTTCCGTTTTAGGACATGGTTCCCATTTCCATCGTTCTCATGGTCGAGTCTTCGGTAAGCATGATGGTTTCTTCCATGTCGTCGCTCTCCTTTTCCGGAACCGGAAACCTGCCGTTCTTGATCAGCTGTCCCAGCGTGGTTTCCGTACCGATTGCGGTCACCAGCGCGGTGGCATGCCCCTGGACGACCGTTCCACCAAAGAGCAGGGTGCGCTGGTCCCGTCGCTTAGCGTTGATACCGCTCACCTGCTTCGGGCGGCTTTGTCCCGTCACCACCCTGAGATCGACCAACAGCTCTCCTTCGTCCGCCGCGATGACGCAATCCGCGGGGACAACGTCCCCTTCTTCCAGCCGGATCACGTCTCCAAGGACCAGGGACGCGGCGTCGTATCGGATCCATCTGCCGTTTCGCAACACCTCGGCGTCTTCCGGGATGCAATTCTTGTGTGCCTTCATGGATTTCAGGTGGTTGATGCAGGGCAAAACGATGCACAGCCAGGCAGGACAATCCACGGGAGGGGGAACGACGTTGAAGCAATCCTCGTGGACGGATTCTCGCACCTGGGAAGCCTCGTCCGTCGTGTACCCATTTTTCAGGTGGTTCATTAATGGCGGCGATTCTGAATCACTGTTCCCGTCGCCTTCGCCAGTGGCATCGGCTTTTCGTTGCTGGACTTCGGTCCAGACTTCTTCTAGGACGGTATCGGTCATTGTGTTATCCTGACTTGGTTTTTGCTGAGTCGTTCGATAGATCGCTCCAGTCCTCACACCGTACAAGTACTGTCGAACTAAATCACTCGCTTCTCCTTGCCGCTCTAGCAGGCAAAAGATACGATAGATTCAAAGGTATCCAGCAGCGATCGAGTACGACAGGTGAAAACAGTTTTGCTCTGCTGAATGCTACTATGCCTCTCTTGAGAAGGATCTACCAAGAAGGATTTGTTGACGATTGATTGATCAATACCAGTCGTGCTTGCTTGGGTACGAGTTTAATCGGAGTAAAATGCGTTAACCGTATGAACCCTACGACGTCCTACAGGGCAGAAAGGCATTCTATTCAAATACCAAAAATTATTACTAGTAGCATCACGGTTAATTTTGGGCACCGTATTTTAGTACTGGTCCTACACAGATCTACGAGTTTTCGGTCACTTTTTCCACTACAAACAGCTCAATGAGGTAAAATAAGATAAACACAACAGCTCCGGAAAGACTTGTAATGAGATCCCCTTTGGGCCTTTGGGGAAAAGCTTCCTTATAGTGTTGGGAATAGCCCCATGTGTCATTGTTACACGATTAGGGGCCAGGGGAGGGGGGGGGGCGATTCTCCACTAACACCCGGTATGGCCAAAATTGGCCGGTTTACAAGAGCGCCTGCTACTTAGAAAATAGGCCAGAACTCTATCAAAAAACAACTTTAGAGCACCAGACTAAGCGCCCAGACCAAGATAATACAATTAGTACTTAGTGATCCAGGTCATTGGGATGCTTAAGGATGCTCTGGCAGCTTAGAACTAGTATGCAGAAGTTACAGTAGTAGTGGGCCAAAATTCCTGTGTTAATTCTAGGTGTAATTTTACTCAAGTTAAACTCGTACTTTATGCTGGAATGCGTTCTCAACGTATGCTACCTACGTATTAGGCGCCGTATGATACATTGTTACCATGTTTTTCAGTTGCTGCAACAATGGGTCATTCCCGGAATACCAGGTGCCTACCGGCTACCAATAGACCCAGATATACTACTAGTAGTAGTAGGCTTCTGGTGGGATTGAGGGAATCAGATGGAGAGTGGCCTATCATAGCATGCCTGCCATGCCATAGTAGATCATATATTATTGTACTAGAGGTGGCCAGCAGATCTACAACACAGCCGTAGTAGATTACTACTACTACTACATCACCATCATGCTAAAAAGACATATTAAGTACTTGTATTTTGAATACACCAGTCAACTTTGAAACATTCTTACCAGAGTCCAAAAACTTGGTATGTTCCATGATCTGGTGGTCCAACACATTGTTTGTAACCAATCACAACCAGTCACAACCCATCACAATTGCTTGATTTCAAAGTGCAACCTAGTATCATATAGCATTGGGGGAGTTATTCCGGCTGAACCAATTGTACATTAGGAATGCTAGATATACGTACATGTATATAGATCAAAACTTCTTATCTGATGCCCTACTCTCCCACAGTGTTAGAAAGCTCTTTGAATTCTCTTTTTAACCATGTGCTTCTTGTCTTTATGCGTCTCTTATGGAAAAAGTTATAGTGGTTAGTGTGAGTTGACCCTTAGTTGACTCTATACGTGTATTTTGTATGGTGCGTTGATTTGGACCATATAATTACCGTGTAATGACTTGTGGGATTCAAAATTTGACTTGTACCAGGGCTACAGCGTGCACGTGCAAGCAAAAACTATTTGGTCGCACAAATATGGGATTCAAAAATTCAGCATGCGTTGGCTGTAAACTGCAGTACAAGCCAATTTTTTAGTCAAAGTAGTCATTACACGCAAAATACGGGCCCAGAATGTACTACTGTATCATACATTTGGGGGCCAACACTATACGATAAGAATTTCTGGAGAGGTAGCTACTGAAGGAGCATTTCTTTACTGCTAGTAGTAGTACTACTACTAGTACTACTACTACTGCTAGTATCACTTGCAATGCCAGATTGAAATTCAATCAGCCCCTTGATTGGATCTCTCATTCTGGTGTCAGAGTGCATGCTTGTTATTAAGCCAGATTCCATCTTGTCTAGTTTTTGTGAGTGTTTTGAGCGTGGTTTCCAGCTCAGAAAGCTCCAAATTCGGAGCTTGGAAATGTCAGAGCAAGCTCCAATAAGCATTGAAAAAGCATTGAAATCGTGTTTGATGCTAGTATGTCCTCAAGCCAGCAGCTGAGATGTATACGATGGAATGTATCGTGCGTGGTGCGGGCCCTAAACTTTTACACAAAGTTTTGGGTACTATGGATTGGCAAAAACCATGTTTCAAACGCTGATGTGGACAACCGGTGCGGCCGGTGAGATGGACTACATGTTGATGGGGACCTTTGGGCTATTTTGCATTGTTGGACCCGTGGTTTGCGCTGTGTTACTATTTTTCACCATTGTATTGGATCAGTGTCATGTTCAGATCTCCAACGTGCTGGCTGTTATTGTTAATTTTCTAGGATCGTTTTGTGCATGGGAGGTGTTTGCAATTGATATTATCCTGGTACAAATGCTAATGCCATCAATCACAGACACAATAATTCAAAACCCTGCTTGCGCTTTGATCTCCAATAACGGATCTTGTCTAAAAATAGAATTCAACCTTGTTCCTAGTATTGCATTTTCAATGGTACTCATTGGAGGATCTACACTGGTTTGATTGTCTTGGATAACTACCGGTCATGCAATGATAAGCAACAAGGAATATGAACACAATTCTGTGCGGACAAGCAGTGGCGGCAATGTTACTAGTAATGTGATCACTAATGAACAATAGTACTGAGGACACTGATATGGAGGACGCTCCCTATTAGTACAGGAGAGGAGGCCCACTGATAGTACAGATGATGTAATACACCAGAAGACAATCTCCAATTTTTTGCTACTACTTACTACTACTAGATCTACTGTTCTTTGTTTTAAACCACTTGGTCAATCAACCTGTAACTTCTTTATCCTTGTGCCCTTAATGTAATGAATAGAACATTTGTCTTGTGAACACAATTAGTTGGGTATTGATGAAGAATTGGAGGAGTGACAGGTCTCTATCCTGGAGGTTCTTACTGTTGTGTTAATGAGTTTTTTCCGCATTTTTGTGTGCAGAGAAATCAACTAGCTGGAAAAGGTTCTCTGGGGGGAAACCCTGCAATGTGCACAGCATGTAGAGTGAGAGCAAAGAAAACCCTTTCCAATCAATGGATTCTTGAAGTCTGATTGGTGCTTTGGTAGCACTAACAAGCAAGCAAAACTTAACTTGGTGCTGACAGCTAAATACTCATAACATATTTGAATAAGATAGTCTTACTTCAAACTCAAAAATGTACTAGTGATAGATACTATGTACGTACCAGTTAATTTGATATAAAATGCGTTAACCGTAAAAAGCCTACCGCGCACTACATGGAAAAAAGTAATTTCACTCAAACTGATTTACACCAAAAATTATTACTAGTAGTAGCATCATGGTTAATTTTGTTAATTTTGAAGCCCAGTATTTAGTACTGATCCTACATAAATTTCAACCCCAAACAGTTCAATAAGCTAACCACAAGAACCGCTCAAGAACCGGCTCATATGAGATCCCTGCAATCCCCTTTGGGGATATGCTTGGTCATAGTAGTGTTAAGAAGAGTGCTGTGTGTCATTGTTACACAATTAGAGCCCAGGGGGGAGCCTGTTCTCCATTAACAGCCGGTATGGGCAAAATTGGCCAGTTTTGAGACCAGCTGCTGGTGGTTAGAAAATAGGCCAGAACTCTATCAAAAAACAACTTTACTAGACCATGAGACTAATTGCCCAGACCAAGATGATACAATTACTTAGAGATCCAGGTCATTGGGATGCTTAAGGATGCTCTGGCGGTTTAGAACTAGTCTGACAAAGTTACAGTAGTAGTGGGGCAGGATTATGCGTTAATTTTAGCTGTAATTTATTACGAATTAACTGGTACTTCGTACCTACTAGTTGTACAAGTACTATTGGCAGTAGTAGCTAAAATTATTGATCTGTACCTGTACGAAGCACTTTTCGAACAGACCTGAACAATTGAAGTAGTATCGTACGTACTACGGTACCTGTACGACTATTCTTATTACTGTTTTGCTTATTTTGGCGCCACGATATTTTCTGGAGCTTTTCGTTCCCCTTACACGAACTATTACAGTCAAATAATAATAAGAATTATTCTTCGTTTTTCGAGCGCCAGGGCTATTGGCATTTTACGACTCGAACAATTATGCTGAAAAGACAGCTCCAGTGTTGAAATTCCACGAACCCAAAACAAGTACTACTTAAACTATCATCGATCATTGCTTACTATTTTGATCATCACACAATTGTCAAATTATCGCAATAAATGTTCCGTTGTTTCGCAAGTATTTCTTACATGAAATACGGACTAATTTTCGGCGAAGTATCGAAATATCTCTCTCGATCTCGATCTGAATCAAATCAGCATATCTACCATCATCAGCATTATCGTACCTAAGAATTACTCTATTGTGCTTAGCCTCTAATCGGTTCGCTTGCAGTAGTGACGATTCACCTCAGGATTCTACCCCAACTGTGACGTTGACTGACTACCAATTTCCCGAATTTCATTCGAATTTTCTTAGCTCCCGAGCATTCAAGAAGACAAATTCGATAGTGTTTAGCGTTATCTTCCAATAATATTCTTAATCACCAAAATAGCATCTGCAACAACAAAGAGGATGATTTCGCCCATTCACTGTAACGCGACAATGCAAAGACCTGATCAATGCGAGAATAGAAGTGATGGAAAATCATGTGCTATGAAGAATGTGTGCCTGACACTGTTATTAATGGCATTTATGTTCTTTGCCCCCGTTAGCGCAGACACAATGATTGTCGACAAAAAAGATGGGGACCCAAATCATAATCACAACAACGAACAATATCTTGTGCATCCCCACACACATCATAATCGTTATAGAGTGCACAAAAGAGAACAACAAAGTCAACCCGACAAACCAATCCATATCATCAGAAGCTTGGAAACAAGAAAGACAAAGAAAAAGGACACGAAAAAGAATCGGCAGAGAAAAATGAGAACTGTCAGGGAAAGAAAGGCAGAAAAGAAAGACGTTCGAATAGAAGGCAAAAAGGCAAATTCAGAAGTCAAGGAAAGCAAGGCAGAAAAGAAAGACATTCGAATAGAAGGAAAAAAGACGAATTCAAAACATTGGAAAACAATTACATGTGTGCCCATCACAGTCGAATACGAAGGCGAAGTAGAGGAGATTCCTGATGAAATAGAATGCGACAGGCTCAATGACGACGAATGGGGAAACAGCGATACAGTTCGATTTGCTGAAGACTATTCAGAAGTCTTCGATGCAATGAGAGTCGTTAGTAACAAAAATCGTATTACGTTCAAAGGACGGATCCGGAAACAATCAGGCAATGATGTTCTTGAGATCAACTTAAAACAAGAAATCGAAGTTAGCAAACATACGAACAAATACGCAGGCAATCGCAAGCTGCGCGAGGGAAGTCACACCGTATTGGTGATCCGTGTAACCGATAAGGATAACCATGCCCCAATGGAATCACAGCAACAGCTATCCGAATCCATCTTTGGTGGATCTCTCGACAAAGTTGGACTCGCGACACAAATGGAGGCATGCAGTGGAGGAAATTTGATGTATAAGCCGGTAGATGATAATCCGGACACTAACACAAAGGGAGGGGTTGTGGAACTCCGTATTCCCTACAGTGTTCTTGATTATGGTCCATACACGCCAAACGATCTAGAGGATTGGGATCGAAGAAAGTTGGAAAGGGACGTCATGACAGAATTAGTGAAACAGTTTCCCATTTATAGGAGTTGGAAGCAGTGTGAGTATTCTCCATAACATTTTCCATCAGAGAATGGCATCAAGATCAATTCGTTTCAACTTACCTCCTTTTTTTCTCATGCATTCATTCCCTTCTTTACATTCTCGAAACGAATTCTTTAGATGCACATATAATGATTGTTTTACCAAAAGAAACTGATTTTAGACAAGTAGGCAGTCATGGAACACCTCCTATTGCGTACGCATACGTCGGCGGGAGACGGTAAGTGGATGTTCAATGTTGACCGCACAAGTTCAAGAGATTCAATGAAAACCACTAGAATCTTTTTAAAGTTGATCATGAAGAGGGGTCGTCATTCGCAACGTCGATTCGCTAACGTTGGCCGAAATCTGCTTTTCTTTTCCGAATCTCTCCCACCCCTCATGAAACATCTTAGATCTGTCTACAAAGATCCATACGGGTCGCACGTCTGGGTTCAAATCCATGAAGTAGGCCATAACAACGGCTTAGGTATGTTTTGTAGCGATTTACAAACTTGTTCTATTTGAGATATTGTGGTGACGGTGCATGTCATAATTCGCTAACAAATATTCTGTCCGCATGAAAAACATACAAAAGGCCATTCTGGGTTGAAAAGGGGACATACTACCAATTCATATGGAGACAAGTAAGTGAAGTCTCGTATCCCCTTTCATGGTACAGACGAAGAACAACCAATAGGCACCATGAGTTTATTTTCTCACAACTTCTTTCCATCGTTGCCGTTTCCATTAGAACCTGCATGATGGGTACATTCAACGGGAACGATGATGCGCCGCAACTATGTTACAATGCAGCCAAGTCCTGGTATCTAGGGTGGTACGAAGAAGAAAACGGGCACGAAGAGGTTCCATGGAATGGTTACTGGGAAGGAAAACTTGTTGCCGTTCCCGATTATTTAGAAAAGATTAAAGGAATCGGGAATCCCAATGACGAATATCGGGCAATTGTTAAAATTTCTGACTTGTATTTGCAATTCAATAGAAAGAAAGCTCCGACACTCGATTTTCAGCCGGAAGATGTTGACCGAGTTGCTGTTGTTTCTCAGCTAACCCAGGTTGAAGGTACGCAATCATGGAAACTTGGTAACAGTTTGGATGTTGGAGAAATGGTAGAGAGTGGAATCTGGGCCGTCAAGGTACTATCAATCGACACCGAGGCCACAATCCCATACGCAAAAGTTGCCGTTTACAACTCGAAGCATTTTGATGAACCCATGGTTGATGAAGCGAGGAGTCAAATGCCTTTCCCAACAACTGCACCTTTGCCTATTACCAAAAGGAGAGCCACAAAAAATCCTACGCCTTTGCCAACACGGCCTACTACACCTATCCACAATACGCATCCCATTCATTCTCCAACGAGTCCTCCTTCGCCTAATCCAACCAAGGACCCCACATTTCTACCAACATCAAATCCAACCAATGGATCCACGCCTTTTCCAACAAAGGACCCTACACATTTACCAACACCCGATCCAACCAAGGTACCCACGTCTTTGCCAACGAATGGTCCTACGAGCAGTCCAAGCGTCACCTCATCGGATCTTGTGATCTATGAAGTATTTCCGAATCCAAAGCGTGAGAACGACAAGGATGCCGAGTACATAAAGCTATTCAATCCTTCCACTGTAGCCACAGTCTCTCTCTCTGAATACCAAGTTTACGATTCTACTTCGAATCGATACAGCGTGCTGACAGCGAAACCCACGCTTGGTCCTCGAGAATTCTTTATTCTTTGTCGGAATAAGAGATGGTTCGACGATGTCGAGTCTGTAATTCCATCTGGGGCTTCCGATGGATGCGACCAACAGGGGCACTTTCTCTTGCACGATCGCCTTTCAACGATAATACTACAGCGACAGGAAGGGGGTGAACACGAAGACATCGATTCGGTTCAGACCGTCGACGCTAGGGACCACGGGGATAAGATTTACGCACGGCTCTCCGATAACGTGAACGCCGAGACGGAATGCGCAACTTGCTTCGATTGGTTTCCAGCCTATGATGGCCCAAAAGCTGCMCAGGGATAGGTTCTGCTCAATTCACGATGAATTACAACATACTATTGTCGCGGGCTGAAGATGTTGTAACAAAACCACTCTTATTATTGATCTGCAATAACAGTTTGAAAACAACAGCTTATGTTCAAATCTTTTGAGAATAACCGTGTAGTAGCTACGGGACTCCGAAATTCATATTATTATTGGGTGATTCCCGTTATTATAGATGTGCTACTTTTTGGTCTGTCTGTCTATCAAAAGTAGCACATTTATTACAAAAATTTATTACATTTGAACAGCTCATTTCAGACRTTTCAAATGTAATAAAATTTATGATGGAACTCACGATTCAAAATTTCGAGTCCGTTGAAAAACTCTGAAAGACTCAACAGAAAGCCCGCCAGAATCCTAAGACAGAACTCGACAAAATTGAGATTTTTTTCTTCTAATCAAATAAGAG